AAACATTTTCTTTTTTTAATTTTCTAAAAATCCAGTGAAAAAGAGGAGAAACTGGCACAGGCACGACTACACAGAAATTGATGATGGTTCCAAACCAGTGCAAGCTGGAACTAGAACTTTTGTTAAGGAATTACGTTCTCGAGTCTTCCCAAGGTATGGAAACTTGTTCAAAGAAAATGTAAGAATGTTGGCTAATAAAGTGACATTATCTAAAGCAATGTTTTCAAACTTCAGACTGCATCTCATTATCGTTGTCAACCAGCTTTTCACTTTTTTTTTCTTAATGAGGTGGAATAGAAAAATATCAAGTAACAGAAGTAAGCAAGCATAGTTTCATGGAACTTTTGTTACAGTATGTGCACACTGGGTCACCATGTTAAAATATATTTCTTAACTGTGGGTCAAAGTCTAAAAAAAGTTCAAAATGCACTAGTCTGAGACAGTTGTCCCAATACTTGGTTCCTTACGATACGCAGCTGCTGCTTCTCTTTTCCTTTTACCTCATCACCTTCTGTTTTCCAACTGTGTTTTTCTCTCTTGTTGCTTTCCTCTCTGTCTCTACCCTAGGTCCACCAGAAGAGCGCACACAACCATTGCTTAGCCTCTGGTGGCAGCAGGACTGGGCTTTTTGATTTTTTTTTGAATAATGGAATATATTTGAGTTGTCTGTGGCTCAAAGAGAGTCAAAAGCATTATAAAGCATTTAATCATGCTAATTTAGACCATTTCCTCCTCACTGCCTGACATCTATTTAGGGTGGTAACGCTTAATAGGCTTTTACACAAGATCATATCCAGGCTTGTTAAAGGGGGAAGCAGAATTTAAATTTAAATCACAGTATCACATGCAACCTATTATGGAATTATTTCAGATCCTGGAATGATAAAACCGCTGCTATTTCTCCTCAGTCTTTGGCATTCCTCTCTATCCCCCGCCCCTTAATTCTTAAACAGAAACATATAATGATGAGCATCTACTGTTGGTTCCCTCAGGTCTACCAAGAGACAGAAAGAAAACATACATGAAATGTAGTATTTCTGCATGTTTTTATGGTGTTAAAGACCCTATTCTCAAATTTCCTCCTTTTATCTGTTTCAAAATTGTAGGAGAAATGTTTGCTTGTTTGTTTCCCTTTGTATTAGATAATGCTTGTTTGATTTGGAGCCTAGGCCGAGCGTTTTCAGTCTGGGTCTATTTGTGGGCTTTAGGGAGGCTTATGAGCTCCCTAAAACTGTATATACAATTTAGTGTCAATGTGTGAGTGTGCATTTTTCAGGGAGAGGAGCCATAGCTTTCATTTTTTTCTAATAGGTCCGTGACCCAAAAAAGTAGTGTTAAAAACACTGGCCTAGTAATTCATGTGGCTTTTCTGCCAAAGTGAGCATAAATGAGAAGAGATTGTAGGGATGATCACAAATGTCCAAACTATAATTACCATTGATTAAGGGTCTTTTTTGGTTTTGTTTTGTTTTGTTTAACTCCATAAACCTTTACATCATTTAAAGCCATAGTAGAGTAACAATAATTACTAAATTACACACACTTGATGTGATTACACTGACATGCATAAGATTAAGTGAATCTTAAGGGTTATCTTCCCTCTCCCCTATGTTAAGACTTGTGTAAGTTTTTTGAGACCCTTTTCTATATAAATAATAACATTTAAAACATTGATGTATATACATGTATAGATGCATAAAATTTTTAAAAATTAAAATGAAGCTATGTTATGACAGTGTTGTGCAGCTTGCTGTTTTTACTGTATTATATGTCATAGATGTCCTTCCATTTATATGCATAGATTTACCTCACTCCTTAACTGCTGTGTAGTATGCAAGAGTATATAAATACCAACCCCATGTGATATATGTTTAATTTGTCTCCAAGTTTTTCCTCTTGCAAATAATGTTGTACCTGTATTTTAAGCACTTATATTTATATATTTTTGATCAACAGGGGAAGTGAAACACCAAACATTTGAGATCAGGGTGTACAATTGATTTAAAATTCCCTGTTATTAACAGATTGAAGTTTAAGGCATTATCTAATCCTCAGAAGTTAGGGGAAGCAGGAACAATTGTGGATGCTTACTGGGGAAACTAAAAAGTAGTAACAGAACTCAAGTTCAGTAGATGAGGCAGATAAAGAACTAAGCCATCCACTTAAGACTGTCTAGGAAAAGTCTGTCTCAGTTTTCTTAGGCCTCAAACAGCTTTTGCCTTACAGAGAGGATGGGAAGATCGGAGCCCAGTAATTCAGAGAACCAGCATTTCCTTTTTCTCCTGTCTTTTCCTTGCCACATAGGCTGCAGACGACATCAAACAGTTCTGATCTGATTGTATAAATGGAACTGTTCTGTTTTAACCTTTAAGGCAAGTGTTGCACTTAATTTTGACTGTACAACAGCTGTGTCCTGTGCAGTTGGAGATAAAATCTAGAATACCCCATTGAAAGAGATCTGGAGGACAGTGACAAAGGGACAAATCATACTTAAGTATAATGCCTATAACATTGTTGATCATCAGAGAGGGCAGCTGGTGATCCAAACCTTCTTAGTGGCTTAAAGTTGCTACCTAATATTAAAACTTATCGAATGCTGGTTATAACAGATTATTTAAATTGGTAACTGTCAATGGGAGTGTTTTGGACACTTGTGTCAATGGGTAGAGACCAGGGATGTTAGTCATCGTCCAGTATGCAGAACAATTAATTGGTTTGTGTCCTGTTAGACTTGAAATGTCTGGCAAATATTTCTGTTTTTTGTTTTTTTTACTTTTTCAAATTATTATTATTTTTTAATTTCAGAATATTATGGGGGTACAAACATTTCAGTTACATAAATTGCTTTTGTACCCTTTGGTCAGAGTTATAAGTGTGCCCATCTCTCAGGTAGTGTGAATTTCTAGCAAATATTTGTGTGATACTTTATAGTAAGATAAAATCTGGTGTGTTATTACTTATCCTAACTCATGTTTTTATTTTAATGTACATCCTACCTTTTGTTCTCATGATGTCCTACAGAGCTTATGTTGAGTGGCTTCTGATCTTTTTTACTTCTCTTAAATCTAACCATTCATTAGAACTAGTTTTAAGCATTGTATTATTTTATGATGTCTTCTATTAAGTTTACATGAACATTTCCATGTTGAAATACAGGTTGAGTATCCCTTATCCAAAATGCTTGAGACCAGAAGTGTTTCAGATTTCAGATTATTTTTTATTTTGGAATATTTGCATTATGCTTACCAGTTGAACATTTCTTTTTTTTTTTTGAGACAGAGTCTCACTGTGTTGCCTGGGCTAGAGTGCCGTGGCATCATCCTAGCTCACAGCAACCTCAAACTCCTGGGCTCAAGCAATTCTTCTGCCTCAGCCTCCCGAGTAGCTGGGACTACAGGCATGCGCCACCATGCCTGGCTAATTTTTTCTATATATTTTTAGTTGTTCAATTAATTTCTTTCTATTTTTAGTAGAGACGGGGTCTCACTCTTGCCCAGGCAGGTCTCAAACTCCTGAGCTCAAACAATCCGCCTGCCTCGGCCTCCCAGAGAGCTAGGATTACAGGCGTGAGCCACCGCGCCCGGCCACCAGTTGAACATTTCTAATGTGAAAATGTGAAATACTCCAATGAGCATTTCCTTTGAGTGTTATGTCGACACTCAAAACATTTTGGATTTTGGAGCATTTAGGACTTTGAATTTTTGGATTAGGGATACTCAATCTGTACATATTTTACTATAAGTTAGTTTGATTTTTTTCTTTTTACAGTTAGAGCATTTTATGTATTTTTCTGATTATATGTATTGAATTAAGTAGATTGTTATATTACCTACAAATTTTGCTTTAGGATAGCAAAAGGGGCTTTATAAAACATTTCTTATTAAAAGGAGAATTAGGCATGATAGGTTAAGAACTATGGATACAGGTAATTATAACAGTATATGAATTAATCCATTATCACAGTATTATTTTTCAACTGAACTTAATGACATTTTATTCTTATGTTTTCCTGTAGTGCCGATGAAATCATTGTAAAGATGCATGGCAGCCAGCTGACACAAAGATATCTAGAGAAACATGGATTTGATGTCCCTATTATGGTCCCTAAATTAGATGATCTGGGGCTTAGGCTACCTTCACCTACTTTTTCTGTGATGGATGTGGAACACTATGTAGGTACGAACTTGATTCCTTTAAGTACCTGGGAAGACACCGTAAAAGTAAAAATGATGGTCCTAATCATATTAAAAGTTAAATGAAGAAATGTTAATTTAGTTCAGTTTCCTGGGTCAGGAAAAATGAAACTTAGTATCACCTATGTTGGAAACTATTTTTTCTCAGCAGACTTACAGCTGTCAGAAAACCAGAATGACACATTTTGCCTATTTTTACTCAGCTTCATCATGCTGCTTTCTTTGGTGTCATTAAATTTTCTGATACATGCTTAGGGAAAACCATTCCTGAGGGCAGCTACAGATACTAAGAAGAAGACATTGGAAGTTGGATTGGTTGTAGGCATCTGTAGAATACAGCCGCAAAATTCCCGGAGTCCAGTACATCAGCTGCACAATTAGTCCTCTGGAATCAGCCTTGTGACCTCTTGCTGTTTAGAGGAGGGACCGTAAAAAGGAGATCATTTCAAACCTGTTTTTATAGTAATGACTTGGTGAATGTTGCCATGTAAGGACATCTGGACTTAATTTGTGATTTTGAAGCCCAGGAAGGGATAAGAAACAAGGGGGAAAACTCTTTCTCTATTGCTGTGTTGAGGTTTGCAGTTATTCCATTCATTCTCATTTCGATAGTTACAGGAAAGCTGACTGTAGACACCCTTCCTTGTCAGAGATAGATAGAGATTACTGGAGGATTAGATCCCATATCTACCTTGACTTAAAATTGTGTATTCACTATAATATCTAATCTCCTCAACATGGAATATCTGAAAACTTGTCCCTTTATTGAGCCGTTGGTTGACAGTTCTCATTGATAATTGTTTCACTGAAGAAATCCAATTAAATGTCATGACTTCACATTCAGCTAAATTTGAATATTTGATAAATTAGGGGATGAGGTTTAACATAAACCTATTTGCATAGATAGCAACTGTAAAATAAATATTAATAGCTAGTGTAAATATAAGTATAGGAAAAAATGTTCAAACTGCTTTATAGCTAACTTTTTAATACTGCAAAGCACTTCAGTTAAATATTAGTAACAGAACTGTGTTACCCTCTAAAGATAAAATAGTCTGTGAGACAATGCTTTCTTAAACTATATGAAATTAAAGTAAGAAAATGCATTTATTTGTTTTCTATTTCACATTGGTTAAGCATTGCCATATTTTGAATTCCACCGTATCCTATAGTCTCTTGTAAAACTGATTATACTTCCTAGGGTAGCAATGCAATGGTCTATAAACATCACTTCATGGTTTTATAAGAAAACTAAATTAGTCAAAATTCAGAACTTAGGTATTCAGACACTGACACTAATCTGAACTGATTTTTGCTTCCTAACCACTAATTTTTTCTTGAAAGAGAATATTAAAAAAGAGAAGACATTATCAGGAGAACAGAAATTGTTTGTCCTGGTCAACTTGCTCACTAATTCCCCAATGACTGATCTGTTTTTTAAAATGATAGAATCTTAGGTATTAGAGAAGTGAAAGGGAAAAGTCAGTCCTCTCATTTTACATGTCTCAGAATATTGGCATCCAGAAAGTGTTGCACAATTTCCACATACAATATAATGTATTTTTTGTCATTATGAGCTGCACATAAGATATCGTTGGTATGTGGAAAGCTTTGTAAGTCATATAAATTTTTATGCTCAGTGTTAGTTATGCATCTCTTATTGCTTTATTCTTTTACTCAAAAACTGTCCCCTTTTTTCTAAAGGTCCAGTTGAACTTTAAAAAGTAAGAATATAGGAAGAATCTTTGTCTAGGTTATATAGTTGTATAGTTGGTTTAATTATCATACCAAGTAAATATAGTCTTTAAAATATTTTTGTTTAGGGCATCTATTTTATGTAACTCTTAAGCCCAATAATAAGACTATAATTTTTCTCTGCAGGTGGTGACAAAGTGATAGATGTCATTGATGTGGCGAGGCAGGCAGACAGCAAAATGACACTTCACAATTATGTTAAATACTTCATGAATCCTAACAGACCAAAAGTGTTAAATGTGATCAGCCTTGAATTTTCGGATACAAAGTAAGTAGTTCTGGACATTTTGGCTTAGCATCCTGAGTGTTAGCTAAATGTAGTTTAATGACATTTATTTCAGTAAGAAACATAATTGTGACTGCTAAAATCATCCAGTGGTAACAATGTTATAAATTTTGCAGTGGCACGCTCAGAGAATATTTAGAAATAAGATGTGTTTTAAACTTTAAGTATTGTTGTTAACCTTAAGTTCCCGTTAATTACTTGGTTTGGGTTGAGATGGGAGAAGCAATTTTAAAAAGTTTTAATTTGCATGATGTGGGTGTGTGTGTATGTTTGTTTTTTTTTTTAAAGGATGTCTGAATTGGTGGAGGTCCCTGATATAGCCAAAAAACTTTCTTGGGTGGAAAATTATTGGCCAGATGATTCAGTCTTTCCCAAGCCATTTGTCCAGAAATACTGCTTAATGGGCGTTCAAGACAGCTACACAGATTTCCACATTGACTTCGGTGGAACTTCAGTCTGGTACCATGTCCTCTGGGTAAGACTGGGGTAGTTTTTTGTTCTCTCATTGACAAAAACATATAGCCATATTTTTTCAGTGGTGTATTCATTTGCTGTAAATGACATTTGTAAAGGGGAAGGTTTTTCTACTTTTTAAGTAGTAACTATCACTTTGCTTTTAAACATTATAATTTGTATTTTATCCCAAGTAATGAAAGAGCCATGATGTTTTTATTTAGATTTAGATTCCATTTTTGCCCCCATCTTTTAAATTGGTTTCTTTTAGCCTTTTTGTCTCTGTTTCCTCTTCCTCCTAGTTAATTATCCATTAATCCTTGACTCAAATACCTAAGAAGGAGCAAAATTATAGTAATAATTGCTTCTGGCTTTAAGGTAGGGCAAGGACAGCTAGTTGGATCCAGGAATGTCCATAAAAATACCAATTCTTTGCAGTTTATATTCACCTTGCTTTATCTAGAACTGCAGTGTTCAATACAGTAGCCGCTAGCCATGTGGGGCTAAATTTAATTAAAATTGAATTAAATAAAAATTCAATCCTCATCTGCACTCATCACATTTCAAGTGCTCAGTCGCCACATATGGCTAGTGACTGCTGTATTGGATAGCACAGACATTAAAAAATTTTTATCATTACAGAAAGTTCTATTGGAGAATAGTGATCTAGAACCAAATCTTCATCCGTGTCAAATGTCTATGCCCTGGCAGTGCTCTGGACTCTATTTGATGCTGTGTCCTTGGACTCTTGTTCCTTTTCTTCATGAAGAAGCAAAGAGTTAGTTTATTAAAGGAAGTTTATTTACAGGTCTTTAAACATAATCTTTATGTTAGAGATCATAGGAGAAAGAGTGAAGTTTGCAGAAAGGACTCTGTAACCTGGAGGCCTGTCAACACATACTTAACTTCTTTACCCTGAAAATGAGAGGAGGTCAGTGGAATGTTTATGGTTCTCTACCCTCCTTTCTCACAGCTATTTCTTCAACACTACTTTATTGACTCCTTGTCAGCTGGGGAGGGCAAGCTTTAGCTCCTGTGAAAATGTTTCTTAAGTCAATAGCTACTGATCAGGTGTGTGAAATGTCTTTGAACTTAAAAATTCTGATAATTATCTAACTTAATTTAGATCATTATATTGGGAAATTGCATCAATGTAGGCCATCCTAAGAATGGCTTTTGCTTTTTCAAAAATAGTTCGATTACTTCGTTCTAGGGTGAGAAGATTTTTTATTTGATAAAGCCAACAGATGAAAATTTGGCACTCTATGAATCTTGGAGTTCATCTGTGACCCAGAGTGAGGTGTTCTTTGGAGATAAGGTGGATAAATGCTACAAATGTGTGGTAAAGCAGGGACATACCTTATTTGTTCCTACAGGTAAGGTTTTCATCCTACTTCCTACTCCCCAGTTGATACTCAGTCACATAGAGTCAGCTTTTAGTTAGAGCCTCTGGCTTCAACATGTTTGAAGTAGTTTTTAGTCGTTACATAAGAAATAATTCTAATCTTGGACTTTTTACTTTTCATCCCTTAGAGGACTTGTCTTAGGACTTCTTTTGGCATTATATCATTTGCCTTCAGTTTTATTTTTATGGAGGTAAAATTCACATACCATTATTCACCCTTTTGAAGTATATAATTTAGTGACTTTTAGTAGAGATTGACAAGCTTGTACAATCATCACCACTGTCTAAATTTCAGAACATTTTCATCATCTCAGAAAGATACCCATATACCCTTTAGCAGTCATGCCCCATTCCTCCCTCCCCTGGGCTCCTGGCAACCACTAATGTACTTCATGTTTCTGTGGATTTACCCATTCTGGACACTTTATATAAGTGGAATCATACACCGTGGCCTTTTTTGTCTAGCTTCTTTCACTTAGCATAATGTTTTCTAGACTCATTCATGTAGCACATAACAGTACTTCATCTTTTTATGGCCCAGTAATATTCCTTTGTAGGGATATACAGGTTAAGCATCCCTAATCTGGAAATTGAAACTCTGAAATATTCTAAAATCCAAGACTTTTTGAGCACTGACATAACACTCAAAGGAAATGCCGCTCATTGGAGTATTTTGGATTTTGGGTTTTCAGATTAGGGATGCACAGCTGGTGAGTGTATAATGCTATATCTTCTTTGGAGAAATGTCTGTTCAAACTCTTTGCCCGTTTTTAAATTGGGTTGTCTGTTTTTATTTTTGAGTTTGTAGATGTTCTTTATGTATTCTGTATATTAGACCCATATCAGATATATGATTTGCAAATATTTTGTCCCATTCTGTGGGTCAGTTTTTCACTTTCTTGATAATATCCTTTGATGCACAAAAGTTTTAAATTTTAATGACGTTCCTTTCACTTTTAACTTTGGTCACTCTCCATTGCTGTTAAAGGGCAAACCTGCTGTAAGAATCTGGGCTACTGTCCTGGGACAATTAGGAGACAAAGGGTATGTCTTCAAAGACCATAGCAAGGGACTGAGTATCAGTCTTAGCTGTAGCCTCAAGAACAGGTATCAGGCCTGTCATTTTGAGATGTGAATGGATACAGCATATAGACTATCCAGACCAGGGGTTTTGAGAATTGTGTTCTTTTTCCTTGGGCAGCCTTAATGGCTGCAGAGTTCACAGGGATCTGTTACCACAGGCTTTGCTTTCTTACCTTGCCTCTGGCATATATAATAATAAATGTGTGTTGAATAAATGAATGAATAAATGCATAGAACTACTAGAATATTTGCCTAGATAAGTTTCAGTATTTTCATTGTGAATGAGCTAAGCTTCCCCCTTTGGTCCTCTTCTTAGTTCTCCCTTTCATAATAAATATTTTGTTATGCCTTCTTCAAAATCTTGCATTGAAATTCATAATTCATAGTTCATGCACAACTAATTTTTAAAAAAAATGAATTTAATGACCTAACTGGAATATAAAGAAGAAATAAAAAGGTAATTTATAATGAAATACTATTTCAGTATGTGGCTGTTTAGGCATAGCAGCATCAGAGAACTGAATGAAATGGTTAGCTGCATAAGCCAGCAAACCAGTGTAGGTGTGTGTTAGTGACAGCACAAATTCTGTCAGCGTCGTTGGTGTAGGCTAGTGGTTCTCAGACTTCCTGGAGTATCAGAATCACCTAAAGGGCTTGTTACAACACAGATTGCTGGCCTCATCCCCAGGATTCCGATTCTATAGATCTGGAGTGGACCTGAGAATTTGCATTTCTGACAAGTTCTTGACTGATGTAGGTGTTGCTGGTCTAGGGACCACACTTGGAGAACCACTGCTACAGGCAATGTAAATTTTTTTCCAAGGTAGTTGACAACTATAAACTTCCAAATAAACTGCAGTTCTTTTCATTTATAGAGTTGTCGTGTTCTTGGAAATTGTGCCAAAACCATGTAAAAATACTTTGTTTAGGTAAATAATGGAGTACTAGTTTCTAGGCTCAGATAGTTAATAGACAGGCTTTGTACATATGTGAACGCCCAGCAGAAGTTGACAGTCCTGAGTGATGTGGGACAGTTTCTTATTGTGTAGAACTGTCTTCTATGTTGCGCTTCTGGCTCTTAGTCACAAAATGCCGGTAGTGCTTTCTGATCATTGTGACAATCAAAAAAGCCTCCAAACTTGCCAAAACACCCTGTACAGGCAGTACTGCCACTATTGAGAACCACTGATGTGTAGAATTTGTAACTGGCATGGACAAACTTCTGATTTGTGGTTTTGGGGTCAAACTCAAGTCTTTGTGCCTTTGAGCACACAAATGGGCACACTTGGAAGTGAGTCCTTTGGTTTTTTTGATATTGTGTTACAGCACAGTGAGGGGTCAAAGATGAAGAATATCAGGAAAATGGGATTTGTGTATTTTAAAAGCTAATTTTCATACAAATGTGTGTGTATATATTTATTTACATGAAGTCTTTATGTTAAGTCTGCCAGCATTTCTTTCAAAAGTTGTGTCGTCTCTTAGAAATGATTCTTATTTTGAAAACATTTATGGGAAAACAAAACATCATTTTGATTGCCAACATTTATATCTTCAGGACCATAGCCCTTCATAATTAAATGTGAGCGATCTGCCGTTTCCTTCTTACGGAGTCGGGTCACAGGTTGAGTCCCCTGATCCTCCCCTGCTTACCTTTGGGGCCACTCAGTTTAGGATGGCCCTGGGGAGGCTGAGTGCTCAGCCAGTCCCAGTGCTCTTTCGTGGAAATTGTGCTTTCCTAATTCAAACCATATTTGACTTGTCTCGGAGAAAAATCTTTTACGTGAAGTTGCATTGTATTTTTAAACTAAACAACGAAAACAGCAACAACCAGAAAAAAACCTTCACCTTATTCCTCAAACTCCGCACACAGCCTGGCATATAAAATAAGCATTTTATAAATATTTAATTAAATGAATCTATAGATTGTAATAGACATTAACTTCTCTAGCACTGGAGTATGAAGTGAACTGATATTGGTGTTTCAAGTTACTTCACAGGTAGATATCACATTTGTTTGGTTTAAATATTGAGAAATTACTGATTTGTATACTTTTAACCATTTCAGGGTGGATTCATGCTGTGCTCACTTCTCAGGACTGTATGGCTTTTGGGGGGAACTTTCTGCACAACCTTAACATTGGCATGCAGCTCAGGTTTGTGTCATCAGTATTTAGGATCCTTTGTCCTTTCTTAAATAGGACAGTCTTTTTTTTTTTAAGTTAAAAAAAAATTCACAGCATTTTATTTGAGATCCCATGGAGATAGGCCCTGAGAAATGATTAGGAATAAGAACTTTTAACAAAAGTAGTATTTTTAAAATTTTGTCAGGAGGATACTTGATGCATTTCAAATCTAAAACCAAAATAGTAACTTAGTTTGATAATATCTCCCTAGATTTCAAAATTTTATAAAAATGTATGTGTTCTCCTTTGGCTATTCTTGCAATGAGGGAAACAAATGAAATCCAGTCAGACTCAGGTGTGACATATGCTGCTAGAAAAAAGCAACCTTAAGTCACAATTGCTATCAAAATATCTGCTTTAATTTTGCTGCAGGTAAAGGATTAACAGCTATTTCTCCTTCTGTATGAGAATTTGATCTTTGCCTAACTCTGTTCCCCTGATAGTCTAATGAAGGGAGAATGTTACTAGGCAACAATGCTTATGGTAAAAATGATTCCTAATTGATAAACTGTATCAGGACTGGGAGAACTAAAAATAGCTCGTAGGAAGCCTATCTTTGGGCTTCCCTGAGTGTGTGACTCTTGTCACTTGGCATGCACATGAGAATCCCTGGAAGCTGTGCATCTGTGTGTGGAGTTATTACAGTAGACAGTGAGGCTGGGCACAGTGGCTCACACCCATAATCCCACTTTTTAGGGAGGCTGAGGGAGGAGGATTGCTTGAGTCCAAGAGTTTGAGACCAGCCTAGGCAACATACCAAGACCCTGTCTCTACAAAAAAAACAAATAGCCAGGCATGGTGGCATGTACCTGTAATGCCAGCTACTCAGGAGTCTGAGGTGCGAGGATCACCTGAGCCCAGGAATTGGAGTTTGCAGTGAGCTATAGCCTGGGTGACAGTGAGATCCTGTCTCTAAAGAAAAATAAATAAAATAAGATAAAATACTGTTTAAAAAAGAGAGAGCGAAAGAGAGAGTGAGGCTCCTATAGGACGTGAGACTGTAAGCCAGGGCAGCTCCCAGAACTACCAAATGTGGATCTCCTCTCTTTGCACCTGAGCTATCCCTGAGGGAGAGATGTCTCCTGCTGTATGAACTGCTGCAAGGACTCTGACAGAAGACTAACACTGTGGCAAGCTATGGTTCCTGTCTTCTCACCTTGGTTATAGCACCAAGTAAGGTCTTAAGGTTGAATGCTTAGTTGAGGCTAAAGAAAACTTTCTGGATGGGTGTTGCAATGTTGTCCAATACAGGGAGCTGTTTTGTAAATACATTGTTTCTCTTATAGTGGAGCCCTTGTAAAATCCCTTTTATTAAAACTAGGATGCAAATCCCAAGGTGTGATCTTTGATGAAGCTCAGTGTAATTCTTAGGCATGCTATCAAATTTGTTAAAGTCAGAACCTGGATAAGATAATTCAGTCTTGTCCAAATGTGGTGTTGTTGCTAAGTAATATACAGTACTTAATTTGTCTTATGTTTTACTTTCAAGTTGGTTGCCTTCATTTAATTTTGAAATACCAATAGTAACATTAAATATTTTTTCAAATTTTATTCATTTAGGTGTTATGAGATGGAGAAAAGGCTAAAAACACCAGATCTTTTCAAATTCCCTTTCTTCGAAGCCATATGTTGGTTTGTAGCCAAAAACTTGCTGGAAACCCTGAAAGGTAATTAATAATTTATACTTTTTTATATGATATGATATATAATATTTGTAAATCCACTGAAAGCCACCTAACAGAGTCCCCTTTCTATTAGAGTATAGATGTCACCCTATTTTGTTTTTTCAATACATGATTTCCTCTCTCCATGAACCTTTTTAGCGAATTAGAGTCACTAGTCCATAACCTAACAACCTATGTTCTTAAAAAAACAGCTATGTGAAGGACTGTCAGAACAACGTAAGTAATGTTGGAAAGTGTTCATTTCATCTAGTAGTCTAGTAGCCTGTACACATTATCAAGCATGTAAAAGTGCCTCCCACACCCTCTCAAAATTGTAGTTTATATCAAGTGATTGTTACCTAATATGTGTTCTGAAACATTTGCTTTAAAAAATCCAGGGAATGATTTTCATGTCCTGAGACAATCAGGTAATGTTTACGCCATCACCTTTATGACCATTGTGCTGGCTAGAATAATTCACTTGTTAGGATGCAAACCAACTTTTCAATTGCCAGGTTATGACTCTGTAGTTGCAGAAAAATATTTTCTTTGAATATCCCTTTATTTAAACTTAAATACTTACTTTTTAAAATGTGGAATTTCAGATTTTGATATTTTTATATTTGGGCGTAATAATCCTTGAGCAGTCAAGTTGGAGACTGAGTATCACTTCTGCCTCTATCCATTTTCTGCTTTTCTGTACTTGAGCCAGAGAGAATATAGTTTGGTTTTTGTGCTGTTTAAATTTTCTAGTCAGTTTGCAAATAGTACTACTGTCATAATTTATAACTCTCAGAAGAACAGATATAAACAGATTAAACAGTAAAGTTTATTCTGAACATTTGTTTCTTTTTCCATTAAAAGTTACATAAGAAGAAAAGGTAAAATGAAAAGAAATAACCAAAAATTTACTTCCCAGGATAGCATGTACAGAACTAAAGTGATAAAATTTGTGTATGGTTTTTTTCTCAAAAGAAAAGACCTCGTCTTTGAGGAGGAGGAAATAACAGTGGCACCCTAAACCCCACACCCCACACAGCACAGTGTAGAGGGAGATGTCTTGACAGTGCTGCAGGTGTGTGTGATGAAGGTAGGATCCCATGGATGGAGAGGAATAGGTACTTTCTTCCCAAGACCAGTCTCTACTCCAGAAATGAATCATTATCATGAATCCCTGAATCGTTTAGTGTTTTCAGGTATTTTTCCTGGCTATAGGAATGTAACAATGCACCGTACAGTTGAGTTTTCAGTAAAATACTGTACAGTAGAGTTCATAGTCTCCTATTTAAGTACAAGTCTAGAAAAGCAGGAACACTTATACATACTTACAAAAACACTTACAAATGTCCTTGTTTTGTGAAAATAAAACTCAACTACTGAACCCTCTAGTAAGAAATTGGCATCTCGATTTCTCCCATCTCTTCCGTCCTTGTGTCCCAAGATGCCAAATTCCTATCTTATGGTTAGCTAGGAGAAACTATCCATTCATACACATGCACATGCCCCTGGGGTGATGCACAATGGTCTCTTTTTCCCCTAATGTCTAAGAGAGGCTCATAATTCAACTTTTTAGAGCAAATTAAGAGTTTATCTGAAAGAATTTTTCTGTTACTCTTGAAGCCACAGCAGCAATTTGCTTAGTCTTAGAAATAACTATTTAGTCTTTGTATTAGGCCATCAAAAGCAAGCAAATAAAAATGTGAGGATTTTAACTTAGAACATGTTAAATCTACAGATCAATTTTGGTAAAATTTTTATTAAATATTGAGTTTTCTAAAAATAA